ATGGCACGGTATGACTGGCAGGTAATGTTCCTGGGGATGGCGTCCAAACTGCTAGGTTGAAGGCTAGGCATCAGCACCACCAAATAGCGTTGGAACCAAAGTGCAAAGTCGTCTGGTTGAAAGGTATCAAATCTGGGTGCCAGTGCTGTCAACGTCAGGTTTAGCATGATATCCCTTACAGCAGAGTTTTCGATGACGGTTAAGTTTCTCTGAAAAGAAGACAAAAATTTGATTTTGAACACTGTCCACATAATTGCCAAAAGCCATGAATGTCATGGGAAAAAATGACATATCATAGCCAAAGTCTGAGAAAGCGATATCTGGTACAAAGGTATTTACCTTCTCTGCGGCCTGAGCAAAATCGTCAAAGAACTCATCTAGTTCCTGGCCTTCTAGAGAAGTCAACAAGCTGCTAACTACGTTAATCGTGACAGTTTCATTATTCAGAGTGTTACTTAGGGTTTCCAGTAACAGTTCCACTATTTGTGTTGCAGAGAGTGAGCGAAGAAGTTCCACCTGTTTAACATTAGAAAAAATACAGTTAAAATTACCTTTAAAATATTGTTCCATTCTATTAATTAGCAATCTAATTTAGTTGTATGTTAATTAAGAAAATTTACCACAGAGATATTTTCATTTATGTTGATCAAATCTTCCAGTGTTACAAAAATAATATAAAGACCAAAGTTTTCTTCCATCCAGTCTATCATTCCATTTGATTCTGATAAGCATCCAGGATCTGTGTGTTAAAATAAGTTTTTTCCTTCAATGTTCTTTCCCCCATTGTCAAATGAAAAACATATGCCTTTGAAATCTGTGTTTATAAATTATAAATATTTTTTTCGTACCTGGTCTGTCTTTTCTTGAGAGGTACATAAACATGAAATTTCTATATATCATTTGCTGTGTTTCAATGTTCATTGTTGAAAACTGCTCATTAAAACCATCCACTCTGAAAATGGAGATATATATTGTGAAAATATATCTGTTAAATACATCAAATACATCTAAAGTAAGATCACCCAAAACTAATGTTCAACTAATGTTTTATGGTTACAGTTTTATACCCACATTGCCTGGTAGGACTGACAGGTGAAATCTTTAGCACTCAGGAGCATCAGGAATTCCTTTGTCACAAATGGTAAGAGTGGCTTGATTTTTATCTTGAACCATATGCTCATGCCTTCTCCACTGTTTTGATTGTGGTTATTTGTGTTTAAAGCTCCAATCAAGTCAATCCAATTCAAATCAATAGCAGTGGACTCTGTATCATTATTTTTCTTAGAAAAAAAGAAAACATTATTAAATATTATTACAATAAAATTATTACAATTTTGAAGCCTTATTGTATTACTTCACACTGTCACCATCACATCCTCATAATGTCGTTTCAATTGTAGTGTTTCAGTCACATGTAATGCTATGGAAGTGACATGTAGGCTGCAATAGCAATCAATTTGCATACGTAAACCTAATACAAAATGTGAACTATTACCTCAAACTAATTGATATTACCATGTTTTTCTACACCCAAAGAAATCAATCAAAAGTTAGGAAGTTAATCAGAAATACAACATATCCTACTAGGTTATTGTAGACATTCAGGGTGGACTCCATGATTCTTGTGAGGTCATTTTCAAGCATTAACAGCTTTTCTCCAGAAAAGCCTTCATTATTGTAAATGACACACATCAGGTGGTTGGTAATGTTGTCCAGTGCATTTAAGATCTGAAATGAAAACACATTGCAAACCAAATCATAACTATTTTAAATGTGCTTATATTATTTAAAAGGGAGAAATAGTTAGTTTATTGCATATGAAAAACTGGCAAAATATAAATAAGAAAGAATAATATTCACATGTTGTATCTGTTGCATTACTATGGCATTACTATGGCCAACACACTAAACTCTGCATACATAACTTTTCTATGTTTTTAGAATATCATTTTAGGATATGTGAGGTGATTTTCTCAGACTTCGCAGACAACTGCATCTAATCACTATTACCTTCTAGGTTATTACTTTGGATATATTACAGAGAAAAGAGAGTAGCTTAACACTTACCCATGAGCTCGCATAATTTATAACACGTGCGTTACAATTTTCAATGGAGGTATTGCCTGATGTCTTGTTTTGGTAAGAAAGCCTATAATGAATCAAATAAAGTCTGTGTCTTTTAATCAATAATAATAATAATAATAAATCTGTCATGCAAATAAAAGAATTATCCATTCTTTACAGCTTTCTTCTTGTAGTAATATTAGCATTTTATGTGATTGATACACACCCATTTTCCATGATAGATTGGCTTATTTCTGAAAAATAAAATAAACATTAGCAGCTGTATATTTAGGATTATGTAACTGGGTGAAGTTGCATGTATAAATAAAAGCAGATAGACAGCTATGTTTCCAACCTTACCATTCTCATTGGTAAGGTTTTTCGTTGCATTGCACTGAAATACAAAATGATTTTGAATTGATTTATGAATTACTTTTAAAAATGGCTTTATCTTGCTCTATAATTTGATTTGCCTACATCCAACCTTTATCATTTAGGATATTCCTCCTATTTGTACAATATGTCACATAAATGCACTTATGTATATAAATTAATGCATCAAAGAAAATGGTGTCTCTAAAATGTAAGAAAAGCAGTAAATACCTTCACAAATTCCTTTCCAGAAGCCAGGGGTATTAGAAAGCCTGATATAAAACAAACAATTGCATAAAAGGAACGTTAGCCAGTCATACTACAAAGACACTGCAAAACATATTGTTTTGACTTATTCTCTAACAATTATTCAGACTCACCAAAGACCACCAAGGCCAGGAAGTGCATGATGTTGGGAAATTTTCCCATCCTCACACAAGGATGGGTCTTATATGTCAACACTGTATGCTGAATAGAAGACAAAATATTACTCTTCCTCTCTCCAGCTTGTTTCCCTGATTTGTTAATCAAACAGCCAATAGGTGGCAGCATGGACACAGTCATTGAAGGAAAAAGTCATTCAAGAAAAAGTCCTGAAAACTTAAGGAAAATTATTACTATCAGTTTTCAAACTTAACTGAGAAAAGAGAAGACATATATACAATAGCAAGAACACACTTGACACACAGAATGACCTCTTTTTCTGCATTAATTAGTGCATTAAAATATGGTATCTTCATCTAAGTCACAAATATACACGTCAATGCACTTGAATGCACACAATACAAACAATTATAATGTTTCATGTCTTTCTTGACCACACCATGAAACATTCTCAGGGCTGTGGAAAAAGTCAGTGAACCCTTGGGTTTAATAATTGGCTGAACCTCTACTGGCAGCAATAACTTCAATCAAGTGCTACGCAGTAGGTGCAGATCAAATCAAATCACTTTGTCATATCAATAGACACTTTAGTAGAGTAGAGTGAATTTTAGGGTCATTGTCCAACAGCTTCAGCCGTTATGCCGTAGAGTCCCTTGATAATTGGGATTTAATTTTCCCCTCAATGATTGCAACCTGTCCAGGTCCTGAGGCAGCACAGCAGCCCCAAATCATGGTGCTCCCAACTGTACTTCATCTCTATTTTCACATTGGAATGTGGTGTCTTTTTTATGCCATATGTAAGAATTCAACCATAGTTACATCCAGTGCTAGATTAAAAACAGGCTCAGATAAAGTCGCAATGCCGAGGAGGGAGCACCCACAACAAATTTCCATTTATAAGTAATCTGTCTAACTGATGAAAAATTCAAGATTAAATCTCAATCTTTCCCAGCTGTATTCAAATCAGGACATTTTGATCATACGTTTTCTGTGATCTCTTCTTTTTTGTGAGGCATGGTTCACATTAGCAGATGCTTTTTATAAACGGCGAACTCAAAATGTTTCAGTGTTTGAAGTAGCTCTAACCGACACCTCCAATCTCGTTTCATTGATAGGACTCCAGGTTTGCTATATCCTGACTCAGTTTAGCTTTGTTGTCCATTTAGCTAAGTCATTAACTTAGGATTCACATACTTTTTCCAACCTAGACTGTTTCAATGATGTATTCAACATGTATAAGAACAAAAGTTGTAAAAAGATTATAAAAAGATTACACCCTGTTTTACAACAAATTTATACATAACTGCAGGTAATTTGAAACACTCTACATTCTTTTTCTTGACATTGTACACATATACATACATATCCCTGTACATAGTATCAGAAGAGGAATAGAATTTCACTAGCTTTCTGGGCACTTGCTGTGCTTGCATGTTTTTTATGAAGGTGTCTCTGTATATATGTATACTGTGTGTGTGTGTGTGTGTGTATATATATATATATATATATGTATGAAATTTTACATGTTGAATACATTAATGCCTAATGTCTGTAATACGTGCATTTCACATATTCTGCCAGTTCCCAGCTTACGTTGTAATAATGTTTAATA